ATTGAATTGGAATGGCGTGACCGTTGTATCTCTTTCTTATTTTCCCTGGCTCCCCTACCTAGTAGTGTACTATGTAGTAGCTCCAACAAGATTCCCGTCATGATCCTCTGGAGGCCCATTTTCTGGTTCTACGAATGGGAATGCTTTCCATTGTCCCATGCCCTGCTGAGATGTCGATAAAGGATCGATTAACCTGTACCCGAACCATGGACCATCAAGCATCAATCACACTACGCGTCTACCATGGTGCTCGCGTGTACGGTACCACTTTTCTGCCGGGCATACTAGTAGTTTTTATGCGCCAGGGCCGGTCTCGACTCTCCGGGTGTGACTGGTTCTGATCTGACATGAACTCACAAGCATTGAACAAACTTGAAGGATCTATTGCTTAGGGGTAGGCTTTGGCTTCTTCTTCTTGGACTTGAGCGTCTTTCTCTTCTTCAAATTGGCTTGTTCCACGCAACCAGCGCCGGCTCGCTTCAGTCCCTGCTTCTTCTGCGTGGCCTGGGCCAACTTTGTGTCGGCCGAGGTACTGATCTCGAAGGCTCCTCCCTACGTAGAGCATCTTTCCTACCTACCGGGATTACCTGAGCGAATTATCAGCGATCGAGACCCGCAATTCCTTTCAGAGCTGTGGACCGGACCTTCAAGGCCCTGAAGACCAAAGCTGTTGATGTCTACAGCTTACCACCCTCAGACTGATGGCATGTCAGAGCGCAAGAATCAGGAAGTCGGAATCGCCATTCACTGCCACATTGCTATGAATGACGAGATTCCATGGGTGGACATTCTTCCTGCATTACAACACAACCTTGTTTCGGTCAGAGTTGTAGAGCCAGTTCACGTAAACCGCGATGCCGTCACTGTATCTGCGTTTGGGCATCATTGGAGTCGTGAAAGCCACCATCATCATGGGTTGCTGTGGTGAATCGACGGAACACGGGACCTCCGTCGAGCTTGGGAGACAGAGTACTGCCTACTGCTACCACTTTGCTTCTTCTACCCGTGGGGGGTTGGAAGTAGGCAGGGGGACTTGAATTATAAGTGAATCCTCACTCCATGTTCGGACAATAAGCCATAACAGATGCCAGAAATGGAATATTCGATCCTCCCATCGGGTGGTCAGAAACCCATGACTCGGAATATCCCAGCAGGGTCTCTTTCTCTCTTCACAGATGTGTTGAAGAGAGTTCATTGCGTGGGTATTAGAGGCCTCGGCAAGTGACAAGGAGAAAAACGTCCGCCTTGAATTGGTCTAAGGTCTATCTTCACTGTTTGGTTATGCAGCCTGAATGCCTCATCGTGGGTTCACCCCTGAATAGCCTTCAACAGATACAAGCTCAATGTTAGGAGACAACTCACATTGTCACTCTCCACTGGCACACATCCCGCCTACAGCTAACCGCAATTCTGGACCTTGAAGGAGATTATACACGTTTCCCGTCGTAGCACACTCTCAAGTTCTCTTTTCCATTCGGTACTTAAAACTAGCGTGACATGAAGTAGTAAACTCTGTGGCCAGTGCCATGCCACCAGGATACCTTACCTTAGTGAGTAGCCAGCAGCTCTCGTTATATCATCTGAACATGCCCAATGAACTCTAGCAGTGCTAGCTAAACGATCACCGTCTGTCGTAGCAGCACGTCGAATACACAATGTATCAGAGAACCAAGTAAGTACTAGCTGAGAGCAACCATCCTCGGCAAACCACCAAGACTCACTCGTAGTGATGGAACACCTCTCTTCCGAAGACCACACGCATACCCAGCCGAGTAAGGGAAGGCAAGTAAGTGCCTCCTTGGTAGTGTAACGGCATTGTATTTGCTACCAGATGATGGAAGCTCAGGTCGGTGCGCCAACCTTTAGTCCGACTCTCACTCAGCAGCAGCCCCGATCCATCCGCAAGTCTATCCATCATCCCATCTCACATTCCCAAGCCGCCCTGCTACGTCAGGTTAGGGAGCCAGCCACCATCTCGCCGGCTTGAGAAACACCCTTCCAAAGTCCGGGTCCAATCATGGTCTACAGCTGTAATTGTATGGTACAGGTACTCCACCTAGTTTGCAAGAAACGAGGCCCCGGTTCCTCCTCTCAAGACACCATACAGCCAAAGCCACAGCCACACATACACAACCACGAACAAACGGCACAACAAGTAAACCATTTCATCTCATCAATTCTCGTATTGCAGATAAGATAGGTACGTAGAGGTTGGTCAAGCGTGTAGGTACCTAAGGTCTGGTCCCTAAGCAAGAATGCCTCATCACCAAGCTTACCCTCCCCTTCCGCTCAATACACGCATCATCTCTAACTCAAGCCATCTCAGTAATCCTTTATAATCTGGTGACCTCATATCCTCCAAGTCCCAGCCAGCGCCATCCAACCGAGTAAGGAAAGCCCCTATCCGATCAGGGAGGGGATAAAAGAGCAGAGCCGACCGAATCGGGCTGCGAAGAAGTGCACAACATAGGAAATGAAAAACGAGGAGTTGCCCAAGTTTATATCGCCCGCCAGCCCGCCAGCAGAGAAAGTCCTTTTGTTAGGTTCTCGCGGCCCGATCAGTAAGTCCCAGAAGACGGCAAAAAGCGCCCAAGCAACGAGCAAAGCTCGTCCCACAACGGAGTTGCTTCGCAGCGCTTCCGGCCACCCAATTTATCCAACCCAAAGTAGATACCAGAATTGTAACAATGGTATATGAAGAAGAAAACGCACCAGAGAACCACCCGTAAAGCAAAATCCTTCCAATAAACAGATTCATAAACTCAGTCATGGGCGATTAGACGTTAGCCGCCTGTCCTCGGGCCGTCATGACGTGGCATGCTCGTCGCCGAACGGACTCCTTTCCCTCCCCTTTGGCGGGTTGGACGAATTTCGTTCCGACGCCCGCCTTGTCGCTTCTTCAATGACAGCGCTGAGACTAGCCGTACTTTGCGCGGGGGATTTCGGAGGATCGCAAAACGGGCTCTGGCCGACCGCGGGCGAGTCCACGATGATGGTCGCGGCTGTTGAGTCCCTGATGGTCGAGCCGGACACGGTGGGCGATGTGACCGCGTCTTCATCCGCCCTTGACGATGCCTTGGTGTTCACCTTGTTCACGCTCCCCACTCGGACAACCATTGCACGGGCCGGTGTGGCCGTGTGGGTGCTGGCGTTGTTCAGAAACGTCGAGCCCACGCTGAAAGTGCTGCCCGTCGGGCTTGGTGGTCGAAGAGCATTGTATTTTTCGTAGTCAACGGCGGGGACAGGCGGTGTTGCGCTGCCGTTTGACGCGTTGGAATGGGCCGACCTCACACTCACCATGGCCGGCTTGGCTCGCATTCCCGTTTGGGCCGGAGCCACAACGACGGCGCTCTTCCCGTAGATGGTGGATGCAACGCTGGATCGCGGGGCGTACGAGGTCCGAGCATACGAAGTACGGTCTGAGTAGGACGAGAGCGCCGAATAGGTAGAATCGCGCAGGTCACCAGGAACGAAAAAGTGTTGATCGTCGATAGTCGCCGGAGTGCCGGCTTGCGATACGCCGATAGGAATTGGTGGGACTGGGGGGACGAGCACGGTGGGGGATGCCGTCGCTCGGTTGGTCACGCCGGGAATGTAAGCAATCTGGATGATGTTGGACGCTCGCGTGAGGACTGTTGAAGCGATCGAGTGGACGGTATGTGTTGAGGCGCGGAAATCCCGTTGTTGAGCAAATTCCTTTTCGGCCTCCAGCCCCTGGTCTTGGGCATCATCCCAAGGTTCTTGATCGATAGGCCGCCTCCTTGTCTTGATGCAGAATCTCCAGACAAGGTACGTGATGATTGAAATAGCGGCAAGGCCTCCAACGACTCCGCCGGCAATCGCGCCGACGTTGTTTCCCGAAGAGCTCGCTTGGGGAGATTCGAGCGCCGAAGCGGGAGCTGGAACGCAGGTTGCCCTGCGACATTCATTGCATCCCGTGGGTTGGACGTACTGACATTGGAACCCTTCCTCACAAGCGGGACATACGAGCTGCTTCGTATTGTCGCAGATAACACACGTTTCCTGCGTATCCTGGCGCTTCCATAGATCGAGCGTCACTATCGCCGTGTTAGAATTCTCCATTCGAAGCTGTATTGGGGCCGGGCCACCTCACAAGACGCGGGATTCCATGTAGCAGTCATGGCTGGCGCAATCCGTCGCGGGGACCGGCGGGGTTAACAATGACGGATGTACTCGGTGAGTGTTGGCCCTTATGCTGATCTGCGAGACGAACAGCACCCAGCCGTGCCGATCAACTGGCCGAATTCGTTATGTGTCTCAGTAAACAAATGCGGGTCCCAGGCCAGTCGGACGGGGAGGAATCGATCGAGTAAGGCGTAGGTAGGCGTTTGATATACCCAAGGGAAGAATGGCTGCTTGTTTCGAAGGGCGACGCAACAATGGCCGGGTGAAGGGGCAAGACGGAGAAAGGGAGAGTCCAAACGCGCGGTGTCAATCAATTCGTGATGACAGAAACGAGCGGCTTTGCGAGGCTAGCTCACAAGGATAGACGGGGATTTCTGCGGATAATGACCATCAACAGAATAAAATCCACCAGGACGACATATGATGATGGTCCTCTCGCAGCAATGCAACTACTTCATGGACAGAGAGGGCCAAGCGTGTCGCTGGTGGCAATTGTTTCGAGGTTCAGGTGAGGCCGACGAGGATTGGGGGTGAGCAGCAATTTTACTGGGGCGCGAGCGGGAAGGCAGAGGGGCCTGGTAGACCAGAATGTTGTTACCTTAGGGATTCAGGGAAAGCCCTGGTCCTTCAGGTCTCGGCTTTCATTTGCGGAAGGGACGCTTTAGGGACCACCGGACCACTCACCAGTCACCACTGAAGACCAACAGAGCCACGCAGGAGAAGAGCCCCACAGCCTTTAGCGAAACAGGATGGAGGGCCAAGGCCTCGTCCGATTCGTTTGCCTGACCGTCCCTGGATTCCCTTCATGGCACGGCAGGTCCAGTTTCCCCGCTCTGGGAATCCGACACTGCAATGTGGGACGGCTCTTGTGAGGCCTGCGTCGGTAACATAGTCACTGCTCGTCCAATATTTTTCAGCGATGACCATCGTCGTTCTGTTCCATATAAGCTTCCATCGTCCGCGCTGCCATGGCAAGAAAGAGGAATCATAATCATGGGAAGAGGAGCGAGGCAAGCCATGCGGTCCCTGGTTCCCTTGCAGGGGCTGAAGAGTGACATGCAGCTCCGACGGTAACGGGGCGTGGCGACTGCAGCTCCGATCTCCAATACGTCCAAACTCCGTATATACCCAGCCCGGAAGTGTGGACAACAAGAACCCTGATTTCCATCGCTTGACGTTAACAAATACATAATTGATCCAGCTCTTGATCTCCTTGTCTGGTTTCCCATCTCGAACCTGATCCTACTTGGAATGGCCCGGATTGTAAACTGCGGTACATAATCATTAACTTGATGAAATTAACAACGCACGATGCCGCCTGTGCTCGCTTGGCACAGCTGATATCATCATGGCCAGCCCCCAACGTCCAGCCCTGCCCCACTGTCGATGTTAGAGCCCGAGAACACGAGGAGCGAAAAGCTTGACCTCTTTTTGGAGACGCTGAGAATATGGAGTTTACACTATACGGATATCAATCGCGGCACTTGCTACCTGTATGTGTCTTCTGCTTTGCATCGGTATTGGGCATGTATGTAGCATAGGGGGTCTCGGGGGGGGTCTACTCGTACGTGCTGGCAAACAGCGTTTCACAACGAGATGCTGACGTGAATTGAGGTTGGGCAATCCTGGTAAGGAACGTTAGGTAAGTTGTAGTCGAATCTATATGAATTACCTACCTAGCCTTAAGGCAGGACCCTTCGTTTCGACATGACGTGAGCATTTTGTGTCGTACGGAGTACGTACACGGTAGTTGAACAAGAATGGATGTTAATGTTCCGGAAACAGGACGTACCAAGTTTGTGGGGTTGATCTGGTCTCCAACTTATCTCGTCCATATGAAGCGGGCTTAGCCTAAAACACCACTGTCGGATCTTCATTGAGGTAAGAGACTAGAGGTAGGTGTGATAAATGTCTTTTGCTATGCTCGTATGAGCCGAACTGCCAATAAGCCACCTGTTTCCAAGGCGTGTCACAAAAACACCAAAGCAATGACGAGGAGGCTGATGGAAGAGCGTGCGCATTAAGGTCTGAACCTTCCAAGAGGAGGGAGAGGAAGGGGGGTTTATACTGCCGCGAACCAGTAAGGCTGGTTGGACCCGTACCAGGAGGGGGGGGGGTCCAGGCAACTGTAGATTCGCCGTCAATTGATAGTTGCCCTAGGTAAACGCCAGGAAAAATCTGATGCGTTGAGCAACCCGTAGAAAAATCCTGAACGTCGGCCCTAGCCAAGCGTTGAAGATCCAGTCAACGTTGAGGTTTCCTAACGTTGGTAATTGTCAACGTTGACGTACCCTCAAGCGTTGGAAAATCCAGACGTTGGGCGGGTCCAACTGTTCATTGATACCTGGGCTACCGGGTATAGGATTGGGCTGGATTCCACGTATGTACCCCAGGGTACGTACACCTCCTTGGTTGCACCCTCCCTCCCAGTCTCTAGGTCTCTAGGTCTCCAGGTCTCCAGGTCTCCAGGTCTCCAGGTCTCCAGGTCTCCAGGTCTCCAGGTCTCCAGGTCTCCAAGTATCTACAGTACAGGCACACGATTACAGTCACCTACCTACGGAGGAGCAGTGGTGAGCGTGGTCGTCGCATTTAGTTGGTAAGGTATCTGTATGCGTAGCCCAGTTAGCAGTCTGGGTGGTGCGGGTAGGAGACTTGGTCTAGGAGACCCGACTTTGCTAATTTGGTGGGTTCTTCCGCGTGGAGCCCAATTCGCTCAATTCCAGGGTCTTTTCGTAGGGTGAATACCAGAATGCAACACGTCTAGCGCAACGTTCTTCCGGTCCCGGGACTAGCGGCGGCGGTAGAGCGAAAACTAGTATCATAGAGGCAATGAAGGCACTGATTGAGAAACCTGCTGAAGATACCGAATTAGTTAAGGGTCTTCGCTAGTAGGATAGGACTGGCGATCTTGGGTGTAAATGCCGTCTAGGAAGCAATGGAAGGTGGTGGTAATGGAAGAATGTGGTGGTATTGTATGGATGGGAGAAGGTTGAAGGTTTAAGTTCAGTGCTCTGCCCGAAGCACAAGAAATACTGAAGTGGGAATAGATGCCTGGGCTAGAGAGTAGGCGGACAATCGATCATAGGAAATGTAGGAATAGCCTCACGCTCGAACTCCCTAACTGTCCATGAGCGCCTAGAGGTCCAAAGGTTGATGCATACCAACGTTGTACCTATCCAGCTGTAAATGTATAGTTTGGTACATCTCTAATGTGTGAACCGGGCCAAACGTTTGGGAAATTTCCAACGCTTGGCGAGGGCGGCTAGCTTCCTATAGTTGGCTCTTTTCCAATGCCTGTATGCGCGAATGTCATTCCTCCCTTACCTAAGAGCGAATTTGGCCGTCAAAATACAGCCAAGAAATTCCCAACCGCTGAGCGACGGTTGCCCAAACCCCCCCCCCTTCTGGTACGGACTTTCCTCCGTTCGTGTACGAGGGTATTCAGGTCGGTAAACAGCAAGAGCAAGAGAGAAGCAACGTACCAATTAGCGTAAAGTTTCCTAGAGGCATGATCGTCTGGTCGTCTTGCTAATGTATCAAGAAGCCGATTCAAGTCAACACCATGCTAACTATATAACTCGACTGAGATTGAAGAGACCTCGGTGTTCCTAGAATGGGACGAGAGCCGCCTATAAACTTGGACTCGCCACCGTTCTGACATTGGAAGAATGAAGAATTTCAGAAAGCGTGTTTGGTTATGAAACGGCTCACAACTGAATTCATTTGCTTCTTGTGTGCCTGCTACCACCGTCATAATGTATTTGGCGAGAACCCGGCCTGTAGAAGGACCTAGACAGCCTGCCTCAGAGGCAAAGTTAGAGAGCACTCAGAGTCCAGCCAGGCTGAACGATCGATCTTACCGTTACTAACTCTCGGTGTTGGCGGTAGTCCTAGACCTTGAAGTCTTACCTCCGTACTTGTTGTATGTACGTGCTGGCAAGAGTGTGGATTCGACCGAGATTCGTTGTCAGCAGCTTAGGTTATGACTTGACCCTCCGTTAGTTGCATTGTCTCCAACGGGTGATCCGGACCCGTCCCTGATTCGGATGACACAAACCGTTCCAAACAAGGCAGACGCGTTGTCCTAGAGTATATCACAGGCGGGGACCATGAACAACAGCCCTGTCCGGGTTTTCCACTCTTGTACCAAACAAGGCCCGGTCCGGAGCCGTCTTGGCGGCCTGGCGGTTTTGCGGGGGGGCCCGATTCACCGGCCACCGGGGGGAATGTGGCCGTAGACCGACCTGGCCCTGGGGAACTGTGATACCGCGGGGCTAACTACTCTACCTTACCTCTCTGACGATTCTATAACGCTGCCCAGGGAGGCTAACACAGCAGACGGATAGCTGCACTGCGATCAGCAAAGGCAAGGTCATGCGTGCCTCCAGTGTACTGTACGGAGTACCTACCTAGGTATTATTACCCAGGTAGGATGCAAGGGATGAAGAGGTTCGGAGCGCTATTGAAAACCCAACGTGTACAAACCAGACAACCCATTTCAACCCAAGATCGGCGACGCAGCCCGTTCCTCGATGGTGTGGTCGTTCCACCATGGCCAACTCGTGAACGCTTGCCTCGTTGTGGAAACCATAGTCCTAAACGGCGATAAACTCCATAGCTAGGAAGTTAGCACCAGCTCAGCCCCATCATGGCACTGCGAACGTAGTTGCTCGTGGGCATAGTAGAACAGAAGAGAGGAAAATGAGGAAAAGTTCTCTCCAAGGCAGCTCCGTCCCAAAGAGCGTTCTTAGCGGACCCTTCTGGTTCTATTTTTAGCTGAGGCCAATGGAACGGAACGCTAGGCTGTCGGCAGTCTCGTAAACGTGGTTACATGGCGAGATGGAGAAATGCAATGCTGAGGCGAAAATGTGTGCTGCGTACACGACAGAGCAGGTTTCCTGTATTCTCGTCTCAGCTTATGGCATGCTCCACAATCAGTTCCCATTTTTACAGCAAGTGCAGCAGCAGAAAGGCAAAACAGATTTTCACTCCCCGATCCTCAAGGGTACCTTAATTCAGAGAAACCTCTGAGATTCGAGATCCAGTAAAAGGTGGCCGTTTGACAGGTGGCGTTGTGACTTCCTCAGCAACCGGCACAAGATTCGGCGAGAGCAGGACCCTGAGGCGGGGGGATTGTTTTCTTCTGCGCTGCACGAGACGAACTCGATGCTCGGCTGCCATGGCGACGGCGGAAAGGCGGTCGGCCGGTGCGTCCGGAGGACCGTACCGTGAGACAAAACAAAGCCACCGACTGCACAATACACACATACTCAATGTGATGATCTGAACATGGAAGAGGATTGGCGAGAGTCTATAGGTCAGCACCCATCGCTGCAGTACACTACATACCAAAGTGCGCATGTTGGCTGTGGTTTGCGTATGTACGAGACACTCCGTGGACACCGCAGATTCATCAATCGGGAGCGCAGCACATGCAACTGAAAGGAGGCAGCAGACACCGCCCGCCGGATCCACCATGGCACCTGTCCACACCACGGCCGGGGCAACCGGACGGAAACAAACGCCTGTCTAAAAGTACCTTAGTGTAGGCAGTGTAGGCTGTCATCTAGACTCAGACACGTCCTGTCAACTCAAACAGTCAGCATGACTTGGTTAGGGCCTGGTTAAAATGGGATAAAGAACCTGCGCTCTGTACACGTATAAGCTCAACATGCCTAAAGCCGCGACAACGGTTCATTACATAGCAAACTTGACGCCGCTGATCTTGACCTGCAGCTGGCAATTGGCAGCATGAAACACTCCTGACAGGAGACGAGTGGAGGAAACGAAAAGCACAGCTTACTTGGCGCTCAGGGGGTTTGGTGCAGGTGGGCTTTGCAATCGATTGCTGGATTGTGAGCAGTTTGGGTGGGCTTGTGATCCGAGCCACTCGCAATCGCGGCCTCCCTGGGCTAGTAGCGGCGGGTGGGGCTCTCGTTCTGCTTTGTATTGATCCCTGGCGCTCAGCCACAAGCCTCCTACCCAACTTCATAATGCAGCCCGGGGCAACTCCTGAGCTTTTGAAACCAAGTTTTTCGAGACCGTTTTTTCTATCTTTCTTTTTTCCCCTAAGCAACGGCATCGTTTGCGAGCCGTTTTGCACCGCGAGCGACTTCCCTGTGTGACTCCTTCCCGCTGGTCTCGAATTGGGTATCAGCAAACCCAAACGAGCAAGGCAACTGACCCGACTATTTCGCGTCCAGTTTATTAACTGCCAAGACCGCTTCTCTTTATTCGACCGACCAACGTCAACAAAAAGGCGTCATAGATCCATCCGTCATCCAACGATTGATCCCGACATTACTAGATATCCAGAGAATCAGTGTCGGATTACTCTTGTCTCCTGGGCATTCTTCTACTCGGGCGATTGCCGTAAACCATGGCATACCACGGCAGGGGGGATGGCTTTGAGGGCCATCCCATGCAGGATTTGAACGCGCACCACGGTCAGGTAAGTTTTGACGCCCGGTTAGAAACCAGTTTCAGTGGATTCTGACACTCAGCTTCCACAGCACGACCAAGATGAGGCAGGAGCCGCGCTTCTCAACCAGAATCAGGTTTACGACCAAGATCGCCTGGGTGCTCACACTCCCCCAGTTCGGCCCGTTTCAGCATACAGCTTGACCGAGTCGTATGCTCCGGGAGCCGGCACAACACGGGCGGGCATCGGCGTCAACCCAACCCCGCCTCCTCTCGGAGGCAACGAATATGCCGGTGCCCCAGGCTACTATCGGCCCGAGTTCGCGGCGGATCCGGCCTATCGGATGTCCTCGGTTGACGCCGACGAGAGTTGGATCCGGCGGCAGAACCCGAACGCCGCCCCGGCTGGCGGTCTAAAGCGCTACGCTACCAGGAAGGTCAAGCTCGTTCAGGGCTCCGTCCTGAGCATCGACTACCCCGTTCCCAGCGCCATCAGAAATGCTGTGCAGCCGCGGTATCGTGACGAGGAAGGCAACAATGAGGAGTTCCTCAAGATGCGATACACGGCAGCTACTTGCGATCCCAACGACTTCACACTCAAAAACGGCTACGACTTACGGCCCCGCATGTATAACAGACATACGGAGTTACTGATTGCCATCACCTACTACAACGAAGACAAGGTTCTGTTGTCGAGAACGTTGCACGGTGTCATGCAGAACATCAGGGATATCGTGAACCTGAAGAAGTCGTCCTTCTGGAATCGGGGCGGCCCGGCCTGGCAAAAGATTGTCGTCTGCCTCGTTTTCGACGGTATTGAAAAGGCGGACAAGAACGTGCTCGACGTGCTAGCCACCATCGGTGTGTACCAGGATGGTGTCGTCAAGAAAGATGTCGACGGAAATGAGACTGTTGCTCACATATTCGAGTACACGACCCAGTTGTCAGTAACGCCAAATCAGCAGCTCATCCGCCCCGTGGACGACAGCCCGCAGACGCTGCCTCCGGTACAATTCATTTTCTGCCTCAAGCAGAAGAACAGCAAGAAGATCAATTCGCATCGCTGGCTGTTCAATGCCTTCGGCCGCATCTTGAACCCCGAGGTGTGCATTTTGCTCGATGCAGGCACGAAGCCCAGTCCCAAGTCGCTGCTCGCCCTCTGGGAAGGTTTTTACAACGACAAGGACCTTGGCGGTGCCTGTGGTGAAATCCACGCAATGTTGGGCAAGGGCGGAAAGAAGTTGCTTAACCCTCTGGTCGCCGTGCAGAATTTCGAGTACAAGATCTCCAACATTCTGGACAAGCCGTTGGAGAGCGCATTCGGGTACGTTAGCGTCTTGCCTGGTGCCTTCTCGGCGTACCGTTTCAGGGCCATTATGGGTCGGCCTCTGGAGCAGTACTTCCACGGCGACCACACCCTGTCCAAAATTCTGGGCAAGAAGGGTATCGAGGGTATGAACATCTTCAAGAAGAACATGTTCTTGGCCGAGGATCGTATTCTCTGCTTTGAACTTGTCGCGAAGGCAGGCCAGAAGTGGCATCTGAGCTACATCAAGGCGGCCAAGGGCGAGACGGATGTGCCCGAAGGCGCCCCCGAGTTTATCAGCCAGCGTCGTCGATGGCTGAACGGTTCATTCGCAGCCAGTTTGTACTCGCTCATGCACTTCGGGCGCATGTACAAGAGCGGTCACAACATCCTGCGGATGTTCTTTTTCCACATCCAACTCATCTACAACGTCCTAAACGTTATCTTCACCTGGTTCTCTCTGGCTTCGTATTGGCTCACAACAAGTGTCATTATGGACCTCGTCGGCACACCGGTGCCCGCCTCCAGCTCGTCATCGGAACATCACGCCTGGCCTTTTGGGGACACGGTAACGCCCTTCTTCAACGCGGTGCTGCAGTATATCTACCTGGCGTTCGTCATCCTGCAGTTTATCTTGGCGTTGGGCAACCGGCCCAAGGGGTCCAAGTACACGTACATCTTCTCGTTCATCGTATTTGCGATCATCCAGACATATGTCATCATCCTCTCAGCGTACCTGGTGGCGCGGGCCTTCGACACGCCTCTAGCCGATCAGATCAATTTCGACTCTGCACAGAACGCGCTCCAATCGCTGTTTGCCGGCGAGGGCGCGGCAGGCGTCATCCTGGTGGCTCTGATTACCATCTATGGTCTCTACTTCCTGGCCTCCTTCTTGTACCTGGACCCATGGCACATGTTCCATTCGTTCCCCTATTACATGCTGCTCATGTCGACGTACATCAACATTCTGATGGTGTACGCCTTCAACAACTGGCACGACGTGTCTTGGGGTACCAAGGGCTCGGACAAGAATGACGCACTGCCATCGGCTGAAGTCCAGAAGGGCGAGAAGGGCGAGGTTGTTGTTGAGGAAATTGAGAAGCCCCAGGAAGACATCGATCAGATGTTTGAGCAGACGGTTAGGAGAGCTCTGGCGCCGTTCAAGGAGGAGGACAAGCCGGAGCCCAAGGATCTCGAGGACTCGTACAAGTCTTTCAGAACCATGCTGGTTGTGTCATGGCTGTTTTCCAACTGTTTGCTGGCAGTTGTTATCACCAGTGACAACTTCAACTCTTTCGGCATCGGGGTAAGCACACATTTTTATACGAAGGACCGAGGATTGTCAGGGATTGCTAATATTTGCTTAGAAAACCGCGACCGCGCGGACTGCCTGGTTCTTCCGATTCCTGCTCTATGCCACCGCCGCCCTCTCGATCGTCCGCTTCATCGGCTTCCTCTGGTTCCTTGGCAGGACCGGCATCATGTGCTGCTTTGCCCGGCGTTAAAGTGAGGCGTCCAGCGGCGGGTGCTGGAGCCAGTGTGAATTGTCAGATACCCTGTATATCGAGTACCGGGCCCTATTTCTCCCTCTATCTGGGCAAACTGGGGACGAGGTTGATTTTGATTTTCTCGCCTTCCAAGCGGAAGAGCGAGCGAGCAAGACAGATCTCACATCATACAGGTGTCCTTCCAGAGTTGCGGATGGTCGTTTTCACTGTTGGGATACTTGTGAGGATAAAATAACGGGGCATTTACCGGAGGCGTTCTCTTCGTTGATTTCGTTTACTTTTGAGCCGTTAGCCACCGCTGTGTTGGGGTATGTGTACGTGTCTATTTGCTTTTGACGGCCTCTTAAAGGCCTCGGGTTAGTACCTTAATGGGATATCCGGTTTACATGAAGTCGTGTGCTTGCCGATATAGCAATGACGTGGTCGCTTTGATTCCCCTGGGAGCGGCCAGATTCTAGACTCGACCCAAGTCCTTTCAAGGAAGTTGGACAGAATCCATAGAGACCTGCACCTTCAAGGCCACAATGCGGAACATGCACAAAGCTTCGAGGTAGTGATTGCACCATGATTGTACAGATAGAATGGATCGAAATTTTGGACTGTCCGGGAACACGGCATTTGAAGGTCCCGATGCTGATAGTCCCGTCGGCCCCACCAAAGCCGGAAGCGGGGGCTTGATTGACGCCTGCCTGCCTGCCCGCCCGGTCCACCTATTGTAATCTGGGGTTTTGGACTTCGAGTCCTCGGGCAACAACCTGAAAGATAACACACCCATCTCAAAACCGCCCACTTCCTCACGTATAAAATTCCCGGCCGCCTGTCCTCCGCCGTCACACAGCAACAGTCCTGCTACGACGCACTTAGTTCTGTCGTACGTCCGTCGCACGCCCTTGAGTTCGACCGATCCCCTTGCCACCATCCTGATCGAGCCGTAAACACTTAGGCACCTGCTCTTCGCCGCAACCCAGGCGCTTTACGCCGACGGCACACTGGTTCAACCGCCGTTCCTGCGAGCGCACGCATAGAACAGGAGCAACAAAGGCCCACCGGCCGAACTACGGGCAAAATGTTGAAGATATGGTCCATGGTATGGCCTCCTTGCAAGGCCCGCCGAGACAGGAATGGGCGGCACATATGAGAGACAGAGTATTCGCTGACAAGCTCGGCAGAAAAAGGAGCAGCAAAAGGCTGAGAATGCGGATAGCGCGGCCACGGGGGGAAAGAAGAAGAAGGTGACGGCGGCGCAATTACGGGTGCAGAAGGGTGAGTGGTTTTCGCATGGCCTCAAGACCTTGTCGACCAAGCAGGGTTCACTGACGGCATGCCTTAAAACTCAGACCTGTCCGAGCTCTCGCTCGGCTCGACGATGAGCACCGAGTTCCCGGACCCGGATAACATTCTCAGCTTTATCCTCTACATCGAGCCGGACGAGGGCATGTACAAAGGCGGGCGCTTCAGCTTCACCTTCAACATCACGCCCAGCTTCCCCCACGAACCGCCCAAGGTGCAGTGCCGCGAGAAGATTTACCATCCCAACATCGACCTCGAGGGAAAAGTGTGCCTGAACATCCTGCGCGAGGACTGGAAGCCCGTGCTCAACCTCAACGCCGTGATTGTCGGCTTGCAGTTTTTGTTCCTCGAGCCCAACGCGAGCGATCCCCTCAACAAGGAGGCCGCCGAGGACCTGCGGAATAACAGAGAGGGCTTTAAGAGGAATGTGAGGCAGGCCATGGCCGGGGGGACTGTGAGGGGCGAGACGTACGAGAGGGTGCTGGCTTAGGACGGTTAAGCTATAAGCTATGGCTGGGGGAGAATAAGAAGAGGCTCGCGTGCTGGGAAGATATACCTTGGACCCGGAGAGTACTGGGCTGTTGGGGGAAGGTGAGGATGATATCTACGGCCATGAACGGGCTAGAGGGAGATATGGCACGACATCGTCATAGATCCAGACACTACGGGGCATTCATGATGACGACCGCAGACGAACCGGGATCACTTGCGTACGGGGGTATATTATATCTCCCCCCCCCCCCCCCCCCCCCCC